ATTATTACCTGTGACTGTTTCAATATTTCTCAGTTTAAGGACAATCAGATAATGTAACCCTTTGGCATAACCACCTGAACTTTTAGTTGTGATTTTTCAATCAACATCGCTGACTTCATTATTAGTGGCACTGAATAAATGCATTAATTATAATATTATATTATTATAACCTTTGTGTGCATTTGGCATTATCTGAGTTTGAAATATTAAAAACAAAATTCATAAAGCTATAAATACTCTAATGCCCCTACTTTTAGCACCAGATAGATTAAGTTTCAAGCTAAGCCTGCAAAACCCGAACATCAAACCATTTTAATCCGTGCATCCTCAGTTACCATTAAGTAACAATATCCAGTGTCCCTATCAAGGTTAATATAGTTTTGGATTTTTCATTACAGTTCAGTTTTAGTCAGTTTTTATTTATTTCAGTTACCCAAAATGTTGTCGAATCTTAGTTTTCGCTTATTCCATTCGTCTTAGTTAACTATAATAGCCCCGATCTCACAGTAAACACCTCAAGTCTCAAGATCCATTTAATCCATTTTGCCAGCTGTTGCAATATTTTAAGCTACTTCAATCTTTGTTTCAGTAATAGCATTACTGGTTCTTTATCTATGAAAATTCTCTTCCATTTCTTATCTATTTGCTAGTTAGGGTCAATCAATATTATCACAGTTAACTGTTAGTATGTATTTTTATTTTAACCAGCCTAATTTTAGTCATCTATTTAGTTTTTCCTCTTTTTTTCACCAGTATCTCAGCTCCTTTCAGCAGGTGTCTTGTAACAATGTTACGTTCCTAACCAGGACTTATTAATTTTACCATGTCAACTGGGTTTTTTTAGCCGTTGTACTGCTTTTTCCGTACTAATCCAGGTTTTTAATAAGATCATTATTTTAAAATCATTTTTAGAGTTTAGAAAAATGCCTACATCTAAAACGTACAATTATCATCACATTTATCATATTCAAACAGCTTTTTCACTGTAGTCCTACACAGGCCTACTATAGCATTTACTGTAGTACATCAAAATTGATTTCATCTTAAGACTTCACTCATTACACATTTTCCACTGTGTTCCCAGCAGCCTTCAGCTAAAAATATTATATTTTTTTCTCTTTTTTGTCTTTTAGGAGACACACTTCCTGTCGTTTCTTACGTATGGGAGCCGGATTCAATCAAGCTTCCATTCTATACACCCCTTCATCCAATTTAGATAACCAGCCTTTAATGTTAATGTGTATCCAGCTATACCACAAAGCTATATGTTACACTGCTCTGACAGATTTAGTTATAGGTTTTAATAGTTTCACAGTAAGTCATCATATTGTAATCTATCTTCAAAGTCATCATGTATGGATTTTGTCCTGCACCCTGCTCTAATTTTAAGTAGTTTATAGTGGTAGTAGTATAGATGCTATTATGAGGGGAGAATTTAATTACCCTTTAATTACCCTTTCTTTATTTATCTATACAGGCTGAAACAAATCCATGGTTTTCTTATCAAAACTATGACTACAAAAAATCTCTGTATATCCTTTATTTAATTACACAAAATTTTTTTTTCCAGAGCTCAACCCAGGTACGACCCTTTCAGTCACGCCCCGCACCCTCCAGCCCAGAGGCAGCCATGGGCCCCACCCAGACTGACCAGGTAGTGACCCAGTTGCAGATCAATCCATCCGCTTCACCACATCTGGAAGGCAGCCGCATCGTTGACGCCCCCTCACAAAGTCCTTTTTTTTACAGTTCATAGTTCTTTGGTAATATGGACCCCCTCCCACACAAGAGTCCTTTTTAGAGTTCTTTTCTTTGGTCTTTGAGCTCCATCACATGGCATGTTGTGTAAAGGCCGCCAGACCTCAGTTTCGTCACATGCTGACTCCATCACATCGCACAGACAAGTTGTCAGAACAGGTGTCTTTGGAGATTAACACCCTGGACCACGCTTCAACTGTGCCCCTGATCCGCCCTTTTGAGTTTGACAGGCATGGACCATGGTGTATTTAGGACTGTCTGCCCAGGCTTGATTCCCAGTCACAAGAATAAGAACCCACAGTACCCCCAAACTAGAGGCCAGAATGCGACCTATGATCGCCCCTCAATTGAGCTCTGAACATCAACATGCAACCATCGTGTGACAGCTACATTATTACTTGTTTAGCAAGTGTCGGATTTGAATTTGAGCCCATATAGATACTTTATGACTTATTAGGGCACTGAACAGCTCTGTGGCCTAAATCCCCACAAGTGAAACATCTCATAGACGCCTGCTGAATTTTTCTCTGAACATTTTCTAATCTGAGATGTTTTCTCTTTCCCATAGTCACATTATTTTGCCCCTCATCCCATAATGGCTGTGATGGTAACCCTTGAGTTAGTTTATTTACAGTTATCTCCAGTTGATTTACTCTGTCTATAAGCTCTTTCAGCTGACCATCAGTACACCGTGCTTGATGTAGACCTGTCACATTCTTTGTTGACACGCTCCCCATCCCCATGTCTAACTCACATTCTGTCTGACAGCCTATGATAACCAATTGCTTTTGTCCGGAGCCCATGAATATGCCAGACCGATCCATTTTGGAGGTTTTTAATAAACCGGCTAACAAGCGTATATTTTTGTGTATTTATTTTGAACAGGCTCTGAAGATTAAAACGGAAAAATAACTTTGACACCCGGTTGTAAGGGAAGAGGACTTATTTAAATAAGCCTCTCTTACATACTTCTCATAATCTAGTTATGAGAGAAGTTTTTACCAAGGTATTTCTCATTACTTTAATATTTTGACTGTGCAAAGTGAAAAGTGACGCAATAAGGGAACGTTCAGACGAGTTCAAGTTGATTCATAAAAGATTATGCAATCATTTATTTACACAAATTGAACAGATCATAAGTACACCTGATTGTGGGTTTTCCTATAACAAGCTTCAGAGTTAAATGAGATAAAACTCGCATCCGAATTTCAGTTCACATTAAAACTCAGATTACTTATATAGAACAGTAAAACGTCAGTTCTGATGTTAACAACCAAACAATTTACTGGCACTTTTAACTTAAGATTGGCAATTAAAGGATAAGAAAAGAGATGAAATTAAGGTTAGTGTTTCTGCTTTTATTTTGGTAAGGGTATGTGACAACCGGATCAGCAACGTCCCATCTGCGCTCAGATTTCCACATGACACATCACCCCAGAACACGACAGCGTTTACCTGTTGATGGCTTCTTGGCCACACTCCGGGCAAATACACTGCCTCACCTCAGACCAGTCAGGGAACGAGTTCCTCGGCCCGCTCAATGCTCCGTGGCGAGAAAGTGTTATTTTAGGCGACTTTACGTCTGCTTCGATCTTCGCCAGAAAGATTCAAGCTGAAGCTTCCGGTTGTCCTTCAAAATAAAAGTTCTCCCCTCGGGTGTTAAAAACACGCGTGCTACTGTCCTGGCCGTCAAATCTGCCCTATTTGGCTTCTCGGCCAGACCTGCGGCCGAGCTGGTTCCTCCGGAGAGAAATCAGCCGGTCTCCCTGTTTCGGCATTCAGGAAGAAGTGTTTCCGTCTCTCAAAATCGTCCGTGTTAGTAATAGAGGCGGACGACTTTGGTTCCGCCCTCAGACTTAGAATGAGTCAGAGAAAGAAAGGAAGATAAGAGCTTTGCTAGCCGGCGCCAGTCAAGGATAAATTCTGTGGCTGTCACAACAGAATGATAATATCTTCTTTAGCTTTCTTTCTGATAGACTAAGAGAAATCACTGTAAAACATTTATGATGATTAATTAACATTTCTGTTTAAATAATCAGTCTGAACTTTGCTAGTCCAGATAAATGAAAGATTTTCTCAAG